ATAAGAGCATGCATCAAGTGATAGACCAATTTTGAATACGCACTCTCCCATCTTCATTGGTGCGACAAACTCGCTCGAGTTAGTGCCCTAAGAACTGCACTGTGGATATTACAACATTCCAGTCGCATGAAGGAGCTGGTGATTGGTGAGAGTGTTATCGTTGCAATACGTTTGGACCTGACTCAGTGATCTCTTAGGTGAATTTCAAGAGATTGGGTTTTTAGCAATATTTTCCTATGATGGACCGTGCTAAGCTGATAAATGAATTAAAGACCATTCGCGCGTACGAGATACAATTTGCAAGGATTGTTAGAAATGTATCTTTGATTGGCTGACATGAAGATCACAGGATTTATCATTTTCATTTGAGCTTACGCGAAGATATTTAGAGGAGCTTGTTTGTTGTCAAATGTACTACCTATAGAAAGTTGGTAGATTGAGCCATACATACATAGTTAGAACTTAATGCGTGTGCCGAAATAAAAAGTCATAAAATGAAAGAAAATAAATGACCAGGTAGGACCGCACAAGAAAAATCACCAAGGAGTTAAATTGAAGATCAATTCAATGTGTCCCCACTACGGTAAGAGACATGCTAGACCTTACAACCTAACAATTTATAAGTGCTTCAAATGCTACAACACTAACCATAAGATTAAAGATTGCCCTCTCACACCCCAAACTCAACCCATGATAAATATGGAGAGGAACTTCAAGCAGTATAAAAATAGATAACATAAATCTGCTAAAGATCAACATCAGAAGCAAAATAGTAAAAAATGGGTAGGTCAATACTACTTTCAGTCCCAACAACAACTACAACAAGTGATGGTGTATTAGTCGTATCAACACTGGATGCAATACTAGCAACACAAGCAATTGCCACTGACATAACAATAACCATCATTTATGTAGTACTAGCGTTAGAGACCTCAAGCTCAGAAGCAAACCAACTAAGCGATTCCACCACAAACATTTATTATGATGCAGCAAGAAGCCCGTGAAGCTCCTGTTGTGGTGACATTTATTACCTCTATCTTTAAGCAACTAGTAAGGGTATTGTTTGACTTTGGCATCACATTCATTCATATAAAAAAATGTATTTAATATATTAATTTCTCATTACAGTCACATCTAGCGTTTTATAAGTTTGCGTCATACCATGTGTATTAAACCCTTATGGTGGCTAGCTATATCGATGGATCCTCAGAAAAACCATTGGATTTCCATGAAATTGGTGTCTACATTTACTTATTTCAAAACTGACTATATATATAAATATTTGCATACTAGTCTTGTATATTATCATAGTGTTAAAATATTATTAAATCATATGAGTATAAGCACACCTGATATTGTGACATATAAATCTTATATAGAATTGTTTGAGTTTAAGTCACTTATATTCATGATTATAAGCATTTGACATTCCTTTTATAAATTTTATACATTTTTATTGTTTATATTGTGTTGAAATTCAGAATAATGTGAAATAAAATCGAGTTAAACAAGGGTACTTTCATTGATAAGAAGGGAGTTATAAATAAACTTTTACATGAATGCTAGAATAGGAAAAATGAAAAAAAGAAAATAATATGAAAGAAAAGATAAATCACCTAATATCTCCAATAATCAATTCATATTAATTATTTGGAGACAAAAGAAATATTATAAAATAGGAAAGCTTAAAATAGAAAATGAAATAACCTCTAATCTAAGGAAATAAATATAAAATAAGAAATAAAATAACTTCTAATCTTAGGAAATAATTTATTTCTCATAACTTCACACAGAAATAAATTATTTCCTAATATAGCTTCTAACACTTCCCCTCAAGTTGAAACATGGTTGAAAACCATGTTTAATTTTCATTTAAAAACATCAAACAATGAGCGAGAAAAATCTTGTGAAGTAGAATTTAAAGTCTTCATCCCGTACTACGGCTGTCTTTGACTGTAGTTCCAGCAGTTACTGTAAGTAGGCGAGAGACTCCTACAGATAATGTTGCAGAAAAGTTTGCAGAAAAGTAGAAAACATGTAGGAAAATGTTGACTTCTAGTTGAATGAAGTTGTCTTTGACTACAGTTCCTGCAATGTTTGTAGGTAGGTGGAAGGCTGCTACCGATAATGCGACAGATGTGTTTTGCAGGAAAGTAAACAACCTTTAGAAAAAGCTATGGAAAAATATTCTGAATGAGGGCTTGCAGATTTTGCTTGAGAAACCTAACATCGACTGGGATACAGAGTAGTGGTAAGAGAGGATTGTTGATGTAAGGCTGCAAGAAATCAAAGAAGCCAGACTGCTTGAAATCAGAAAGCCGGACTACCGGAAATTAGGAAGTCAGCCTGCTAGAAATTTGGACAACTGTAGAAAATTAGGAAAGTTGGACTGCTGGAAACTAGGAAGTCGGACTGCTACAGGGAACATGCGCCACAAAATAGCGGGAAGGACCTCCAGGAAAAAAACGTACCTCCAGCATAGGGAATTGCAAAAAATAAGGGAAGCCGGGCTGCTCAAAACCAGAAAGTGGGTCTGATGTAGGAAAAAAAACTCTAAAGGATGACCTGCAGCAAGAAGAATTCCGGTGGAGGACCTGCTGTGGGAAAAGCTCCGAAGAAGGGTCTGCTGCGAGTGCAATTTTGCAAATAGGATACTTCCGATTAGCACTGGGAGACTGACCCGTGTGTCTAGAAATAGCTCCTCCATAACCTGCACTTGCACCTGAACAAGTAGAAACATACCCGCTCCTCGGAAATCCTTAGTGTAATACTTGCAACCCTTCTCACCACTTCTCACCAAGGGTGACCAGTAGAAGCTTCAAGGTAGGACTCCAAAGCAACAAGGCCACTTCATCTTCCACTGAATCCTTACCAGTTAAGAATTCAAGCTCAATGACACTAACTTTAATGACATCAACCTGGTCCCAGATGCTCAAAATTTGTTCCTTCGCCTTTGTTGCAAAAGGCTAAAATGGCAGCCGAAGTTTGGGTTATAGAGAGCAAAATTCCGGCTTACTTGGTATCCTGCATGGCCATTAAATGAGCTGACCTTGGACTAGCTTGCATATACACCCAAATAGAAATTTTCAGTTTGAGAATAAAAGCACTCTGGTAAAATCCAAAGAGAGCAACATGCAATCCATTGATGATAAAATTCATCAAGAAGAAAATTTTTTTGGTTGTTCAACCATATTTTGGAACTCTAAGTTGTATGCAAATAATTTGTACCAGTGCAATGAGAGAGGTAAAACAATAGCAACCACATAGTGTGTAGTATAACCATTGCTGCCACTCATCTAATTAGTTAATCTCGTTCCACCACTGCAATCTAATCCTGGCGATTGATCCTGCCAATCCCAACATTGCATCGCCCTTGCTGTCCACATTTCTCCTCTCGATTCCCTTCTAGGGCACAAATTGCATAAATCTTGTGGAAGAAAGGAAGAAAAATTGTGGAGAAAGAATGTGGGAGATAGGGTTAGGGACTTCGTGGATAAGGGAAGGAATGAAGGATGTGTGTTGGCGAAGGGCCAGACTGTAGTCACTTGCACAGCCAGATTCTGTGGAGGAATTTGCCGCCTTTGAAAACAAGCAACAGAGCCTCCTTCACCTTTTTTAAATCCTGCCTCAGGTAGGCGGTGGTAGAGATGATAGACATCACGACGCCGCATGCGGCAAGGCCGGCGATGACGCCGCCTTTAGGGCTGACGAAGGCAAAGAATGTGAAAAAAAATTGTTATTTTCAAATACCAAAATGAGTGCCACTCCCTTGCTGCACGAAAGATGGCAGGAAGGAAGTCTGCCGGTTTTGGAAGGAGGACCAACAATGGCTTGGGTAGGGAATTTGACTTTGATACCTTGTTAAAATTTAGAATAATGTGGAATTAAAAAGGATATTTTCATTGATATGAAAAGAGGTATAAATGACCCTTTACATGAATCCTAGAAAAGGAAAGATAATAAAACAAGTCACGGGATATTTTGCATGGTGGAAGGGTCCAAAGCTGTTATAAGTTTAGCAGGAACGTGCGGCTAATGGTTGAATGATGCTTTGCTCCATCTAAACCTTCAAGCTTTGGGGACCAACAGTGCAAACCCTTCTAGCTTTGGGGACCAATAGTGCATGGTGAAAGGATCCAAACATACTAATTATATTAGTATTCTGAAATGGATTAATTTAATTGTGTGGCTGTGTATAGGTACTAATAAGCCATATCATTTGCACTCTTTCTAAACATCATGTCCCTTGGCCAGCCCACATTCCAATACTCATCACTTCCTCAACATAATCATTGGATATTTTCATTTGATGGCAATTATCAATTTAAATACTAAGTCAAATTGTTTTTCACTTAATTGATATAAGATGGTTGTGCCCGTTATTGAGTTAAGAACTGGTTCCCTTCTTCCTATATTTCAATTTGAGCCAGGGCATTAGTTGTAGGTCACATTATTGGTCAACAATTGCGGGAACCTAGGTGGGAGATTTAGATTTTTGATATAAAGAACTTGAGTGGCGTAATTAGTATGGGCTGGCTTACAATAATTTTGTATTTATCGTGCTGTGTCATTGTAATAATCAGTTTTTAATTTTACTTCGTGGATAAAAATGTAAATATGTCAAAATTCAATTGCTTGGATGTTACCAGAGAAAACGGTGGCATATATGCAATTTACAATTACCCTAATACAACATTATGCTCCTGGACTATTTGTTGTCAGGTAGACAAAATGTGGCCATAAATGAGATCTTATCAGCAGAACAAGTATTTCTTTTTATGACTTTCTCTAGATGCTGCCGTAAGCAGGCTATCCTTGAGGAATGAGATCTTTGCATATCTTGACGGCATAAAGCAAGATTTTTATGAATTATTTGTACTTTTCTGTATTAAAGGAAAGCAGTTGAATCTAGAGTACATAGTAAAATAAATTGCCTTTTTTTTTAATTTAAATAAAAATAACAAGTATAATTAGCTATAAATATCACATGTTTTCATTACCTTTCAACTTGAGGATGAGCTCTACGCCATCAACAACTCGTATTCTTGAATCAGCAGATGTAATAAGTACTTCAGAGTTACTCCCTGGAGAAAACTGTGAATATGCCCAAAAAATTCAAATTTGATGCTAGTAAATTAAGAATGAGCATATAAATGATGACAATTGCAAATGTGATAATAAAGATTGAGAACCTGGAAACCAGTTATTTTTTTGTTGTTGGACTTCCTCTTCTTGTTTTGCAGTTCAATTTGGGTTTTATGATGCAGCTTATTATCTGCCAAAATAGAGGTGAGAATAAAATATATAAATGCTTATCAAATTACAAATTATCAAATATAATGAAACATATGCCAAATGAAATTTGGAAATAAGTAAGATCCCCTATGATCCCCAGCCTTTATCGGCATAGATACATGACTTTCTAAACCAAAGAAAAATGTACAGCCAAGCATACTAAATCAGTACGTGGCATCAATATCAGGTTCCAAAAAGCACAATAATATTAAACTACAATGGTGCTCATTTTGTTGCTAAGGTAAAAAAATGAATTTATTAAATTCTGTAATTTGACTAGATGCACATAGAAATTAATGTTAGCTTTAAATATTATAAACATCTTCAAAATCCCAAGATAGTAATTTTATTTTTAGAAATAAAGTAAAAAAATTGAATAAATTATTTTTTTAAATAAATTTTCAATCTAAATACAATCAGATAAACTCTTCTATTGTCCGTATTAGATAACTAAACTGAGAGTGAAAATAATGAGAATGTTAAAATGAATGTATTACAAAATTATTAAAGATTAATTAAAAAATGAATGTATTGAAGGAACGATAACACTAACAACATTTAGATGGTTTAGACATATACAATAAATAATAGGAAGAACAATTATTAAATGATTAGGAAAAATTTGTGCCAGAGAATTAAAAAGGATAAGAGGGAAGCCTAAATAACACGCATAAAATAGTGCAAAATGAATTACAAAGAAAAGTTTTAACACAATCGGTAATCGAAAAGTTGACTATAAATAACTGGGAGAGACAAACTGATGATGTTGTCGTCCATACCAGATGTATCATATAAATGACAGCTTCCCTTGTGCGAGCCTACTAGAGCACCCTTCAAAAGACAAAAGAGAGCAATTGAAAAAAAAAATAGCAGAAGCAAAGTTCAAAGAAAAGGGAAGTTTCTCAACATATTCTAAATAAATACTAGAAGACTACATGGCATGAAAAGCTAAACCTGCCCATCAGGTGTATAACATGCAGCTGTAACCATTTCATGAAGATCATTCCAATCCACAACTCGCTGATCTGGTATGCTCCATATCCGAATTTTCTCATCCAGAGATCCACTAATGAAGTACCTGTCATCAACAGGATTGAATTGGATGCAAGTCACTGCAAATAAAATGTTAATAAGTATCAGAATGGTATTTGCTAACAGTAAAATACAATGGACAAGCCAAGCAGTATTGGTTGAAGAGGATATTGACAAGCATTAGTCTTACTAACCATAGTCACTGTGTGAAAAAATTTTCAGGCAGGAAATGCTAGACATATGCCACAACCTAACTGTCTTGTCCATTGAAGATGAAAGTAGGTACTGCCATTCACAGAAATAAGAATTATCAAAAACATATAAACAAATGTCAGCATTTATGCAAAAATTGCACTTAAATTCTTTATCTAAACGTAATATGCAAAAATATCAAAAGGCAAGCAAAACATAATACTAGAAACCTCTTCATGCACGATAAAGGATAACAATGGGGAGATACACAAGTAAAAGTTCCATTGATACGCCGACAAAGTAGACTCAATTAATCTATCACTAATAAAGGCTAGCTTATCACTGCAATAGAAGATCAAATGTCAGCATTTAAGCAAAAATTGCACTTAAATTCTTTATCTAAACGTAATATGCAAAAATATCAAAAGGCAAGCAAAACATAATACTAGAAACCTCTTCATGCACGATAAAGGATAACAATGGGGAGATACACAAGTAAAAGTTCCATTGATACGCCGACAAAGTAGACTCAATTAATCTATCACTAATAAAGGCTAGCTTATCACTGCAATAGAAGATCAACCACTTCACTCGAGCATGCTATAAGATGCTCCATAACCCTGATGGTTAGTTTTTTGGAAAGACAAAAGCCATTCACATAAGTTTTACATTCCGTATGTTCCTGACCACAGTATTCATATCCTAAGCCACAGCCTTCATAAAGTGCTGTAAAATTTTCCTTGACTAACAAAAGAGCTTCTAATGGCCCCACCATTGAGCTGTATTTTTCTGAATAGTAATGGGAAAAGCTGCTTGAGAGTGGTAACAAAAGGTAGTCAAATGAGTTAATCACGCATTAAGCTATATGAAATTAAGTAATGAAATTTTGATATGTACATCCATATGATAATTTTTACATCAAACAAAACAATTAAACGAGTAGCGTAAGAAAAAAAATGATAGCTAGCTAAAGGACATCTCAATAGCTCCTTCAAGTTTCCCTGAGATGCATTTTCTTTTGTTTCTTACATTACCACGAAAATGACCAACTGATTGCTGGCTTGGAACAAGAATTAATCTGCCGTTTGGCAACAACAAGGGTACAGGTTCAATATATCATGCAAGTGTAAGGTTGCATATATTAACCTCCCCGACCGCGTCATAATGGCTCCGTGTACAGAGAAAAGTTCATGCTTTACAAACAAACAAAGAAGAGAAAAATTGGTGATATTGGAATTTGTACTTTCCAAGCAAGCTCCGTGTAAGAAAATGGACGCTATTAAAATTAAGGTGGACAGTATCCTTGCTTTATAGAAACGGTCACTTTTACATCTAGAGCTAAACTTTTTTTTTTTAATAAAGAATTTTCAACCTAAACTCCAATTTGATGATGTTTCATCCAATAGCATTCCCATCTTTATTTTTTGCTTTAATCTTTTAACTAATATTCGATTTAAACTATTCCAAAAACATAATCAATGCTCTGGATCTTCTTTCTTTGGTCTTAGCATTAAAAGTAAAACAAGAGCCTGATAAATGCATGCCATGTATGGAGAAGAAGATGCATAAGGAACACTAGATAGAGTAAAAACTAAAGGTTTTTCACGAAAATGTCATGTTTTTTTGAGAATAACACAAAACTGATCTTATGAAGATAGCATTGAGAAATAATTTACATACATCATTAGGAAAATTTAGGAACAACAAATGGCTTGAAAAGAGATGCCTAAGCTTTGAAAACGCTAAATCTTTCTGAAACTGTAGGGTACCAACAGAAAATTGCCAATAGTCTAGGTTTCAGCATATAAAATGAACCATAAAAATTATTTTCACTCTCGAAAAATGGGCAAAATGAATAATTCAGATCATACAGATATTTTGGAGTACCAGACCATTTATTTATTTTTTAACTCTTCACTGCTTGGAAGATGAACTTATTATTGTTGTTGCGAGATCTAGATATATCAGTTGATGTGATATATATATAAATTAAACAGGAGAACAATCAACGAAGTGAAAAATAGAACGAGAAAAATCACACCAGAAAATAACAACACAACAGAATACACAGATTTACATGGTTCGGCAATTTGCCTACGTCCACAGAGTTGCAGAGGAGTCGATCACCTCGACTTACAAGAGGAATCTCTCACTCTTCGTTGCTCTCTCTATTCTTCTCTCTCTATACCAAGATATACCGAAGAAAACTCTACACCGAGATACACCGAAGAAGACAAACTTACAAGAGAAATAAACCCAATTTCTCTTCTACCACAAGTCACCAAGAAGAAGCCTAGGCAGAACAATCTTCTTCTTCTTCCTTCTTCTTCCTTCTGCCGCAAGGAACTACCGCTTGCACTTCTCTTCCTCTGCCCCGAGGAAACCTTCCTCTATCCCGAGGAAACCTTCCTCTATCCCGAGGAAATAGAAAAAGAACTCAAAGCGTGACTACAAAACCCAATGAGAGTCATCTGAAGCTTTTATCACGAACATGAGGAAGCGAAGAGATACTTCACTTCATAAAAGAGGAATGCAAGAGTGGTTATTTGTGAAGAGGTGTGACTCTCCAAAGCAAAATAACCGCCCAAGCATAGTGGACCGGGCTCCACCGTTTCTAACGCTTATAAGATTGACCGAAATATAGACTGAAAAATTATAGGACAAGGCAACAAAATAGGGCTTTTATTTAAATTATTGTGTGAATGTAACCCTTTCTATAGTCAGCATGCTCCTGATGTTAATACAATGATTCTTCGCATATCAAATTATGCACTAACTTCTGCATATGATTAAGGAAATGAACCCCAAGTCAAGTTTTGTAAACTATGCAGTAATGAATACGTTCAAGAAGTAGCTCTTGATTGGCAACTGTCTTACACGATAAAAAAATCAATTAGCTAATTTCAGTGAAAAAGAAGATATCAGCCGTTGAATAGAAACCAAAATTTCAAATAACAGAGGAGGGGATTAGATATAGATGAGTAAAATCAGTCACAAAGACAACAGAAATTCACTTAAACGGTAAATGTCAATCTGCTGGGTCCGCTTACAATCTCTAAGGATCAGATTTTGTGAGAATTTATCCGCAAAATATGCCACTGTACTTCTAATCTTGATGAGTTAATAAAATTGAGAATAATAAATCATTTAACATATAATTTGCCTCTACCGAAGTAAAAGCGCTATAATAAAAGCACCATTATAATGCTCGAGATCGAGATTATAAAGCAAGCGCAAATGATTAGAATTACCTGCGATTTGGACCAAGATAAATCCAGGATATCATCAAGATGACCTCTAAAAGAGCATAGAGGCCTCTCCTCGAGCGCAAAAAGGTGTTCTGGCACCATGAAAGTTTCCAAACCGAGAGATTTCCTGCCACTGGTTATCTTTGTCCTCCTCTTCTTCTCCCAGTGGTTCGTTTCAATGCAGGCCAAAGCAAACGCAACTTCCGGCGTCCCATTATTAATACCCCCCAAGAACGGATTGCTACTCCCATTCTCCCCTGCTGCTCCCTCCATTGCCGGAAATCCCTTCCTCTCGCACTGCAATACCTGCCAAATATGGATAACGCAGTCCTCTCCTGCACTAGCTAGATACTGCCCATTCAAGCTAAACTCAATGGTCCAAATAGAACCACTATGCGCTTGAATCTCCTGAGTCAAGTAGAGACCACTAAGCTCTTTCAAGGACTTCCCATACTGCTTAACTCTGATCCGCTCAGTGCCGTGGAAATTATGGTTGGATCCCTCTTGACTATCGTCCGTGGCTGAGCTCGACCTCCTCCCTCCCTTTTCAGACGAAGAGTCCCTCTCCTCGATGCTCCTCTTTTCACGGTAGTGAACGACGGTGTCGGCAATGCTCTTAATACTCCTAAGCCAGTTCCCTTTCCTCTTCACTCTCACTCCCATGCCGCCTCCAGTGAACTGACCACCGCCACCGTGAGAATCAGGAGCTGCACAGGAATTAGGATTCTGGTTCTGACGCCGCATGAGTTCATGAACGATCGGAGACCGGCCCACGCACATCTCGAACTCCTCCATTGTTAGCTGCCGGCCAGTCCCAACCTCTCTTAGCTTATTCCACATTCCATCTTCCCTGAATTCCTTCACCACAAACTTTCTTCCCGTATCCAGGTTCCTAATAGTGCACCGCGGGTCATCATCATCATCATCCTCGTCTCGGACTATTCCATCAGACACTACTGGCCAAATAGACGGCGAGAAGCGGAGCTGCCTTTGTACTGTGATGGAATCAACAGTGCCGTCGGATCTGGATCGAGTGAAGAGGGCGGAAGAAGAAAAGGGATCGATGCGTTGATAAACTGCTTTGTATGATGCGGATCTAGCAGCTTCTCCACAATCCCCATTTTTCCACCTGTCGAAGTCATCTTCGCCGGAGTTCGAGATTGGACTTTTCGACCGGGAGAGGGCAGGATCGCCGGTGAGTCCCAACATCTGAAGAAGACGCCTCCGGCGCTCCTCGACGGGCGCTGGATCGGTAATCCATACCTCATAAGCCGCCGCAGCCGGTGGCGAGAAACGGTGGCAATGGTAATAGTCTGTATCATCGTCGGAGGCGGAGGTAGAAGAGCACGAGGATGAGAAGATTCGGTCTAGGGATTCGTAGAACTCCTCCTCGTACGATGCCGGCGGTAGCTCTCCCAAAGCAGAGCTCATCATCATGGCGGCTACATTATAATCCAGATGCCGGAGGACGTTCAATGTGCGGCATCGGTGCCACAGGGAAGGCTGACAGCCCGGAGCCCGACATGGTAACCCGATACCTGGCTCGAATCTGGAGCGTGTCGGTGTTAGATGAGAAGCTGCGAGCGAGCTGTAGAATTGAAGTCCTCAGAAAATAGATGTCGGAGCTCCTCTGCTTCACCAGCCTTCGTCGTAATCGAGAAGCTGCCGATCGTCATTACTAACTTTGGTGTAAGACGGGTGGGCAGTGTGCAGCAATCAGTGCTCGGCTTTCAAGCATTACATATAAATATTTTTATTTTTTCAAATAGATGAATTTTTTTTAATTTTAATTCCTAAAATTACAATAATTGATATTTAAAATCTAAACCTTTGATTGATTTATTTCTTATCTAAAAAAATTATAAGAAAGTTATGTTAATATTAAAAATATATTAAAATTTAAATATATTTCTATCAAAATTTTTTCATCTAGCTAAAAAATGCTATAAATAAAAAGTTAAAATATTTATGATAATTTTTAAAATAAAATAAAAAATTAAAGATATGTCTATGAGATATAGAAATGTATTAATATAAGTTAAATTTTATAAAAATAATTAAATTTTTGGGAAACACATTTCTAATAGCAAGTGCTATGATTTTAGAGAGGTTCTAACTAGGGGGTAAACGAATCGAACACGAACGAACAAAGCTTGTGTTTGTGTTCGGTTCGTTTAAAATTTAGTTTGTTTGAAATAAGCTCGTGTTCGTTTCTTAACGTTAATTATATAACTTATATTATATAAATATACAATATCTATATTAGTATATTACTACTATAGTATATTAATATATTATTATTATTATTTTATTATATATTATAATTTATAAAATTTAATGTTTTAGAATATAATAAATTTTTTATATATAATTATTTTATATTATTTTATATTTCAAACAATAACGATTCGAACACGAACGAACGCATCACTGTTCGTGTTTGGTTCGTTTAACTAACCGAACGAAAAAAATTTGTTCGCGTTTGTCTCGTTTACTTATCGAACGAATCGAACACAAACTCATTGACGAACCGAACACGAACTGTTCGCGAACAACGAGCTTTTTTGACAGCCCTAGTTCTAACACATTAGAAAATGTTGATATGATTTTTATCTTTTATGTTTTTTTTTTTTGTCTAAAAGGTTGTTAGGTTTATTCTTGGCAAGAATTGTGAGTCTCTTCGGTCTTTCGGGCCACATGCGCTCTCCTCTCACATCACTAATCTTCTCTCTTTCTCCTCCCTATTGGCATTAGGGCTATCAAAAAAGCTTTTTGTTCATGAAGAAATTGTGTTTGAATTGTTAAGCAGCTTGTATTTACTTGTTTTCTTAAGTAAATGAGTCAAACATGAAGAACTTTTTTTAGTTCGATTTATAAATGAGTCGAATACAAACAAATGTTTGTTTGTTTATCTTTCGCTCCTTCTGGCTTCAGATTATTAAATAATTAAATAATAATATTTATTTATATCTATTTTATATTAACTTTTTATACTTCATTTAAAAATGTGATATATATGGATTTGGGTGGTATAAATGTAAAAAAGTAAAGTTTAGGTGTTAGATATGTAAATACATAGGAATTGTTTGGTTATGTATCTAAATACGCACCCCCCAACTTAATCAATCAACCGATAAATTTTTTTAAATTTCTATTTTCATTTGCTTAGTCCCACATCTTTAGCAGAACTGTGCATACAACCTTGAAGATGTTTAATTGTACTATGGGAAATCCCTCATATAAGCTTTGTAGCTACTAGGTTGTATGACAGTTTTGGCTTCTGAGCACAAATTCAAGTCGAACGCAACTCGAAAACAAACAAAAAAAGTAATTTCAGCCAAACACAAACAGACAAATCATGAGCTATTTCAAACACAAGTCGAATTCAAACATGATGGTAAGAGTCTCATTTGTATATAATTTTTCAAAATCCCCTCCATCTATTTTTTAGTTGCATTTAACACTTGTCAAAGAAGATTTGTTTTTTTTGCTCAATAGATCTCCAAAATCCCCCAACATTTATAGTATCAACCACTATCTTCCTAGTGTCTTCACTTTCCCCAACCCTAAATCTTCTATTAGGCTCTTGATCCATGGAAATAGATCTCGATCACCAATTAAAAACTCAAACTAACCCCACTTATTTATACAAACTTTTTTGTATTTCATTAATTTGAAAGACCTTAAAGTTGCTCAAAATGCCAATTATATATTATGTCTCCTTTCTTTATTGACTAATACTTACAACAACATTTATTTTCTCTCGATGATATCCATATTAAAACAATTATTAACATTTGAGCTTAGTTTTTTATGTTGATGGTAAACAACATTTTTATTATTTTCTACTTAACTCTATCGAAAGATTGTATGAGTTACAAAATAAACTTGACGAACTTATTAAAATTAAGGGATTCTTTCTTTTTTTAAATTTTATTGTACTGAGGATTTGGAGATGGATTCCTCATGGGTTTATCAATAGATTTTTTTGAGCAAATGCATTGTTGATTTCTAATTATTTAGAAAAGAATTTTTAATCTTACCCATCTTGATCAAGCTCTATCGACATATTGTTTTAAGGAATTCATTATCGATTTTTGTCATTAACAGAAGAATTTTCTAACATACCTAGTTTGATTAAGCCAAAATTCTCTTTTTGCTATTAAAATTTGAATATAAAATCTGAAATCTTCTGAAGATGGATAGTTTGACTGTTGCAGAAGCAGGATTTTTTGTCCATGTTTATATTCAAAGCTCAAATTCATCAACCTTCCTTGATGAAATCCAATCAATGTCAAATGAAAATTTTCTAAACAAAAAAAGTTGTCGTTGATTTACCTTTGTGTTATATGAAATGGGGGATTATGGCTATTGGGTGTCCCTATGCTAATTAGAAGTTCAGTGCTTCCTTGGGTGAAGTGCTCCTATACTATCTTGGTGCTCTTGCTTAATCTAGAGGCCACATTGCTTCCCAACAGAGAGCCAAGTGCTCTTGTGCATTTGCATGCACTCTTATGCCATTTAAGTTGAGGACTTAAGCACTACATCACATTGGTCTGCACTATTTTTGGTTAAAGAGTTGTCCGTTGGAAGTTGTCGGTCACCGAAATCAAAATCCCATCGCCCGCTTCAGAAGGACGTTTAATATATATATATAAATCAAACTGACCCCGTATTTTCTATAATTTAAATGAAAGAGCACTGTATCTCAAACCTTGCATATATCCCGAAGGATAAACACAAGACTTGAGGATGAGACTCGATCAAATAAGCTAAGAAATATATGACATCCTGTGAAAACCATTTTATTTGCCGCCAAGTTCCCTTATTTAATACGAAGAATGAAATAGAGTTTATATTAAGCTGGGTTCGGAAAAACCTTCTTATAAGGGCAAGCTAAAAATTAATTACATCTCAGATAACCAAAATCACTTAAGAAAACTCTCGATAAAAATTAGGAAATATTATCTTCAATGAGGTCAAAAGGATTAGAATTTTCAACGAGATCAGACAACGAGGTGTGACGGGGAATGACTCAAATTTTGGAACATTTTGTTTTTGGAATCCAAAGGAGGAGAACTAGGGGATGTCATGGATCCAGAGAAGAACCTCAGTGACTTCCCAAGTTCGGTGACTTCTCAATCTATTCTATTGTTTGGCTTCAATTTTGAGAAGAAATTATTTAAATATTTCATTCTGCCAATTTTATTAATTTAGCGCTTACACAAATAGCCTGGAAGATGTGAGGATTTAGGTCGTGATAAACAACAACCTCGGAATCCTAAGATGAGTTAGGGCTTAAATTTGAGTTAGGGGCTATACAAAAGCCTAAGGATGAGTTGAGGATTTATGTTGAGCCTAAGGATGAGTTGAGGATTTTGAGTTGAGGATTTATGTTGGACTAGGCAAACAACCTCGAAGTCCTATGACTTTGGATGTTTAATTCTAAGGAAGGAATGGTTTAGCTGGGGAAGACATATTTTACTGTTGAAGATGGTAGTGTTGTCCACCATGTGTTGTCCACCATGTTAGCTCCAAGCTCCTCGTTCTGACGAGTTTAAGTTTTCTAGTGTGTCAAGTTATGATGTCAAATCAGATGACCATATGGTTGTAGTTCTTTAAATGTTATGGGGCATATTAATGTTGATTATAGCGACACCGGTTAGGATCTTACAGTTCCCACGTATCACTATTTTCTATTGAATTCACTTAGTCCAAATGAATTTACTAAACTCAACTTAATAAGTTCCATACTTTCATTTAGACCGTAGGAAGCCTCGCTAGCAACCGTAGGTTACGTAGGTTACCTCCTC